GGATGGTGTCGATCTCTTGACCTCGTGATCCACCCGCCTCGGCCTCCCAAAGTGCTGGGATTACAGGCGTGAGCCACCGCGCCCGGCCATGTTGCTTTCTATATGCTTGCAGTGAATTTTCCATCAGTGGAAGATAACTGCCTTGGGGTGGATTAGGGACTTCCATACTGTTGGTGATTGAACAGTAACTATAGAAGGCAGCGGCTGGTGCCTAAAAAAGATGAGTCTTGGTTTTTATTTCCAAAAGAGCACATCTGCTGACTTAGCAAGCATCTCATAAATATCCCCAATATTTTTCAAGCAAACAACTGATATACTTCCTTTACTACCCAGAGGCCCCCTAGATTGCCCTTTTGTGTCTTCATTCCTTTTCAGATCTGCTCTGAATACTAAAAAACTAATTTTATCTCTTTTAAAATGTGGTAGGAAAGGGAGAGGGTGAATAGCCATGTGATCTGCCCCAGTCCTGGGTCCCTAAAGATGGCACGGAGGGGGACATGACATACACATAACCCACACCCAGAAATTTTCTACCATGGTCAGTCATCCTGCAAGATGCAACTGGATGTCTCTAAAACAACACAACAAATGGCACAACACCAGAGGAAAATAAAAGTGTCATTAAATGCAGCATCCTTGGCCAAGAAAAAGAATTAGCAGGGCATACAATGGCCATGAGAAGATAAAGGGTCAGCTATAGATTCAGTGGATGGAAACAATTTACTACCCAGGGAACATTAATAAAATAAGGAAGGACATTTCCTATAACAGGAACATGTTTTGGATATCTGCAATGAATTGTTACTTGATTTTCCCTGTGACAGTAAGTTATCAAATGGTCAAGACTAAGGTGTGTCTTTTCCTGCCCAGGCCTCTTGCTCATAGAATAATTCTTAACATTTAGTTGGCAGTAAGAATTTCCCACTTCCCAACCCAACAGTGAAGTACATACTAGCAATGAGAAAAGAAAATTGGTGCTATTTTTAGAATAATCAGGTCTGTCTTTCTTTCTCTTATGCATAATGTATTTACAGATATACAGGTTATAGTTTACAGCAGAGTGGACTATATAAGACTGAAGATTTCATTTTACTAGATAGTAATGAAGTATAAATATCTTGAAATTTCTCAACGAAACTTACCAAAAACAGTACAGTTTTTATGATATAGGCACTGTCTCTGAAAACATGAAAAGTGATGTAAGTGCAGTATTGCTTTTTAATAGTATGAAGTCCATATCCAGAATGAAAATCACATTGACTCTAATTAACACGTAGAAAAAGGAAAGAATAATTCCCCCTTACATTTGGGTTGAATCATAGGATATTAGTGGTTTTCTATAATTTATGTAATTTTTTAAATTTTGGCTCCTCTTATTTTTTTACCATGAGGCTGTGTTTACATGTTTTTTAGAAGGGCCAAAGATACCCTTTTTCTATTTTATGGGAGTGCCTGGGGCTAAGTTAGGCATAGTGGCCTTTCTAAGTGGCCCATGCAAGCTTGGGAAATGGAAAGAAGCAAACTCAATGGTCTTGATGACATGGTGTGTCTGAACAGAGTGCTGCTGAGGTGGAAGCTTCCACTTTTTCTGGGGGTCGGGGATGGTCAAAAGTATAAGAATATAAAATTGCATTGTTTTAACAGGAATGCTCTGTCAAACAGAATCTCATTTAGTGAGATCAGCAGGTGTTTTATATGGAAACTTGAGAAGCACAGCTTTATCCCTTCCTGAAAATAATGGGCTCAGAGTAGGACCCACCAGAGAAGTGTGACTTTGGGATATATGTTTGTAGTAGGGTGAGAAATATATAATTGAGAAGTGTGTAAGATTGTTTATCCACTTTAAATAGTTGTCCCATGAAAGGAGATTCTGTCAGGTTCTGAAATAAACCAACTTTCTTATGGACTGCATGACCTCTGTAAGTTATTTCTAATGCTTAGTACCACAGAAAATGTAGTTGATTACTGTCATTATTGTTGTTATTAGAATTTAAATGAAATAGTACTAAAAATTTGTATGAACCTCAAGGCAAGAGTTACCTAAAACATGGTAGAATTAGGAAAAAAATCTATCAGACTATGCAATCAGCCAGACTGATTTTCTGAGTTCTGAGTTCACCCATCATCCGAGCAGTGTACACTGTACCCAATATGTAGGCTTTTATCCCTACCCCCTCCTAGCTTCCCACCTCTGAGTCCCCAAAGTCTATTACATCAGTCTGTGTTTTGTGTCCTCATAGCTTAGCTCCCACTTATGAGTGATGACATATGGTATCTACTTTTCCATTCCTTCATTTCAAATAATGGCCTCCAGCTCCATCCAAGTTACTGCAAAAGAAATTACTTGGTTCCTTTTTATGGCTGACAGGTAGTCCATGGTGTATATATACCACATTTTCTTTATCCACTTGCTGATCAATAGGCACTTAGGTTGGTTTTGTATCTTTGCAGTTGCAAATGCTGCTGCTATAAACGTGTGTGCATGTGTCTTTTTCATATAATGACTTCTTTTCCTTTGGATGGATACCCAGTAGCAGGATTGCTGGGTCAAGTGGTAGATTCACTTTTGATTCTTTAAGGAATTTCCATACTGTTTCCCATAGTGATTGTACGAGTTTACATTCTCACCAGTAGTGTAAAAGTGTTCCTTTTTTTACACATCCATGTCAACATCTGTTGTTTTTTGACTTTTTAATTATGGCTGTTCTTACAGGAGTAAGGTGGTATCTTGTGGTTTTAATTTCTATTTCCCTGATGATTAGTGATGCTGAGCATTTTTTCATATGCCTGTTGGCTGTTTCTATATCTTTTTTTGAGAAATGTCTGATCATGTTCTTTGCCAACTTTTTGATGGGATTTTTTTTTCTTGCTGATCTGCTTGAGTTCCTTATAGATTCTAGACACTAGTCCTTTGTTGGACGCATAGTTTGCAAATATTTTCTTCTACTCTGTGGGTTGCTTGTTTACTCCTCTATTTCTTTTGCTGTGCAGAAGCTTTTTAGTTTAATTAAGTCCTATTTATTTATTTTTCTTTTTGTTGCATTTGCTTTTGGGGTTTTAGTCATGAATTCTTTGCCTAAGCCAATGTGCCCAAAAGAGTTTTTCCAGTGAACCCTCTAGAATTTTTATGGCCTCAGGTCTTCTATTTAAGTCTTTGATACATCTTGAGTTGATTTTTAAGGTGAGAGATAAGGATCCAGTTTCACTCTTCTATAGGTGGCTTGTCAGTTTTCCTAGCACCATTTATTGAATAGGGTGCCCTTTCTCTATTTACATCTTTGTATACTTTGTTGAAGAACAGCTTGTTGTTAGTAGTTGGCTTTATTTCTTTGTTCTCTATTCTCTTCCATTGGTCTAAATGCCTATTTTTATACCAGTGCCATACTGTCTTGGTAACTATAGCCTTGTAGTATAATTTGAAGTCCAGTAATGTGATACCTCCAGATTTATTCTTCTTGCTTAGTATTGCTTTGGCTATGTGAGCTCTTTTTGGCTTCCTAAGAATTTTAGAATTGTTTCTTCTATTTCTGTAAAAAATGATGTTGGTACTTTGATGGGAATTGTATTCAATCTGTAGATTGCTTTTGGCAGTATGGCCACTTTCACAATATTCATTCTTACGATTCATGAGCATGAGATGTGTCTCTGTTTGTTTATAGACATGTAATTCATTCTTGAGAGTAATGTCTTTGTAATGTTATTAAAATTTGTTTAGTAATTATGTCTCCTTGTAATAAGTCAAATGCTGAAATATTTTAGTTGAAATAGGTGGGTGATGATGTACAGTGAAAAATGAAGAAAGCATCTGAGAATTGTATATGGATATTAATTTTAGAAAAAATGCTATAAAATTAACCTGTGGCTATAACTTTATTTTTAGGTGCTCCAGTATTACCTCAGGGATTACAGCCTGAACAAAAACTACAGCTGTGGAATGAGGTAAAGAACTATCATCACACAAGTTTGTAGAAACTTTACCCTTCTCTGAAATTATCATGTTAAAATGTATAATTGAGCTCTGGGAGAACTATGATTTTACCAACAATCTAATAATAAAACCCAGAATTCTTTTTGTTAAATACAAGAGAAGGAAAAAGGAAAAGAAACAAAAATGAAGTAAGTGGTTAAGAAGGCAGAAATAAGTCCTAATAACAGGTTATAATAGAGTAATACAAGAACGGGGTAGTTACAATAAATGTGAATACACTTAAACACAACACTTAAAAGACAGAGATTCTAAGATTGGATTTTTAAAAAAAGATCCAGAAATATATTGTCTATCAGTATCACACTTAAAACAGAAAACAAAAAAAGACTAAGTATAAAAGGATGGAAAAATGATGTAGCAAGCAAATATAAACTGAAAGAGAAAATATCTAATCAAATAGGATTGAAATGAACAAACTATTGTAACAAACAAATAAGGATCTTATATGCTAATAAAAGAAAAACAGAATAAGGAAATATAGCCATCATAAATATACGTTAATAATGCAACCTTAAAATTTATTGAACAGCTGATAGACCCTCAGCGAAAAATAGGTAAATCAACAGTTATAGTTGGAGATTTTAATACACCTCTCTCAAAAACCGACAGATAAAGCAGTTAATTCATAAGTAGCTGTAACAACGACATAACCATACAATTAATAAATTAGAGCTATTAGAAATATTTTTCATTACTTGGAAGCCTGAAATTGGAGGATTGATTCAGCCCAGGAATTTAAGACCAGTCCGAACAGCATAGTGAGATCCCATTTCAGGAAAAAAATATTGTTTAAAACCTGCTGCACTAAATAATATACACATTCTTGTGTACAATTGGAACATTTGAAAAACAGAATGTGTTAGACAGAAAGGATAGGTCCATAAATTAGAAAAAATATGCCTTCTAAATGCTTTCCAGTTACAATGCAATAAAATTAGAAATTAATAACAAAGTATAGCTTAAGTGTCTCTTCTGTTTGGGATATATATAGTATTTTGGTAAAAAACCCTGGGCTAAAAAGAAAATTACGAAATCCTTAGAACTGAATGATAAAAACATAACTCAAAATGTATAAGCCACAGCTAAAACAGTAGCTAGCAAGAAATGTTTACTTCATATATATTTATCAGGGGAGAGGAAAATTTAAAAACATTGATAAGCTAAGCATTCTGCTGAAAATGAGGTGAAAAAGAACAGGGAAAATTAAAAGAAAAGGAATGAAGTAAATAATAAAAATAAGGCCAGGCATAGTGGCTCATGTCTGTATTCCCAGCACTCTGGGAGGTCGAGGTGGATTACGAGGTCAGGAGTTTGAGACCAGCCTGGCCAACATAGTGAAACCCCATCTCTACAAAAAGTTTCCAGGTATGGTGGCATGTGCCTGTAATCCCAGCTATTTGGGAGGCTGAGGTAAGAGAATCGCTTGAACCTGGGAGGCAGAGATTGCAGTGAGCCAAGACGGCACCACTGCACTCCAGCCTGGATGACAGTGTGACTCTGTCTCAATAATAATAATAATAATAATGGCAGAAATAAATTTTAAAAAGAGAGCAGAGCAACAGTTTTAGCAAAACCATATATTGGTTCATTCAGTAAGTTAACAAGCACTGGCAGTACTGATTTCAAAAGGCAGAGGGGAAGGTAAAGAAATAAGGTATAGATCGAAAAAGAATAGAACCCAAGAAAAATAGAGATGTAAAAAATTTTTAAAGTAATATGGATAATGGTGTGATGGATGGTTGCACAACTCTGTAAATACACTGAAAACCATTGAGTTGTATGTACACTTTAAGTGGACGAATTGTATGGTTTGTGGATTCTATCTCAGTAAAGCTGTTAACAAAAACAAAGTATGGATGGCTATCTGATAGTAATTTTGAAATTGGATGAAATGGGTAAATTCTTAGATAAATATGCTGTGCCAAAAAAAGGTGCAGTGGTAATATGATAAACACCGAAGTAACAATTTCTTCTTTCCTTATATCACTGGCCAAGGCCTGTTTACTGTCTTACACAGTCAGTGTATCTAAAGCTTCTCCATAATGTATAAACTTGCTCTTGAAGTTTGATATATAACCTTCACCCAGTTAAAAAAGTTCTCTCCTTTTCCTATCTTGCTAAGAATTTTGTTAATCCTAAATAAAATGTGAACTTGAATACTTTATTTGTGTCAATATTGAGATAAGCAATATACTTTTTTCTCTTTTAGTCTATAACTGTAATGGATTGCATTAACAAATTTCTTGCTTTTGAACTATTAGCACTAATACAAGAGTTCAGGAGACTTTTAGATATAATACCAATATACAAAAATCAGTAACATTTCTTTTCACTAGGCAAAAGTAACATAAAAGTACAGTTGAAAATACTGTAGTATATATACAATGAGAACAGATAGACAGAGGGAGGGGAGCATCACACACCAGGGCCTGTCGGGGGGTGGGGGACAAGGAGAGGGAGAGCATTCGGACAAATACCTAATGCATGCAGGGCTTAAAACCTAGATAATGGGTTGACAGGTGCAGCAAACCACCATGGCACATACATACCTGTGTAACAGACCTGCACATTCTGCACATGTATCCCAGAACTTAAAGTAAAATAAAAACAAATAAATAAATAAATAATAGTAATTACAGAGCTACCCAGACACTAGAAACACATACTTTCTAACCATATATAGACACCTAAATATTTTCAATGAGATTTACCAATGGTCTCTACAGGGTTCTCAAAAGCAGCCAGTGACACTCAAAAGCATAGAGTCACACGCTGAGTCCAATGAACAAATACTTACTCAAATGGAAAGTGGGCAAGTAGTGCTCATGTGTCCTTCAAAGAAATGAGAACAAAGACTGAAAACTTTGCAGTTTTCTCCTAATTTGACTAACTGGGTTTTAAAAAAAATTCTGATATTTTTATTCAAATGACATTGATGTCCTGAGGTTCAAGGGTTCTCTGTTCTTGAACACGGGCCACCTCACATAGTGGGCAGCCTGGTCTGTGGGTGGACAGCATTCCCGTGGAGTGGGTAAAGTCTTCAGTACCTGCACACCATAAAAAACTCAGGAGGAACTACTTCCTTCTACCCTACTAAACCACAGAAGGTGACATTTGGAGGTGAGGTAGTAAGCATTGTTCTCAAAAGGCAGCTTTAAAATGGTTATCTTTCTGACTTTCCCCTCTCAACTAACTTTTTTTTCCCCACGAGTTTAATTTGACTTAATTAAAGGATTTTTGTTAAACACTTATTCTGGGCAATTTAACGATGACATGGCCCCTACCCTCACTCTGTAGGAGGAGAGAAATTCTGTGAGGATAAAAAGGAAGGAGACATAAGCTTATGCTTTTCTGTAATATCTTAGACCTTTGTTATTCTCTAAGTTAGAGAATAATATATTTTAGGATATGTTCAACTTGGAAGCAATGAGGAGCTTGAGAATTTATGACAGAATAGTATAATAATCCACCCCCTGGTATGAGAAAAAGAATTCTGGGACTGAAACGGGCCTCTGAAATGGAACGCTATAAATAGGACTCAACCTCAATCATTCCAGAGAGACAAGAATCAGTACCATTTTTTTGCCAGTCCCGTTTTAAAAGGCCATCAAAGAAATAAATGCCATAAACAATGTCAGACATCCAGCTTAGTGCTTAACTTCTCAGCACGGTTTTTTATGATTAATATAAATCTCTCATTCTACCGTTTAAAGTCTCTCAAGTTTTCTTTTTAGGATAAAGGCTGAGAACAATTAGTTGCCAACTGTAGCTCAGTAAGCCCTCATTATAAAATAGAATTCTTCCAGTACTGGTTTCATGGGAGAGATCTAGTGGATTGCCTGTGTTGTATGAACGCTTTTGCTGGTGTGCTGTTATCATGCTGTTACTATGTTAATTTAGGTGACATTAGGTTCATGTGTCATAAAGAAACATATGAAAACCAAAAGTCTGCGTTAATTTCAAGGTCATTCTTTAGTCAGCTCTCACATTCCTCAGGCTAAATAGTACCTGACATGTTTTTCTTCAGTATATTAATGTGAGGCACCTCCATGCCCTAGGATGATCCCTGTCAGCAGTCACTAGACACGTATACTCTGTGGTTAGGGGGACATCTTGAGGGAAGTCTCATTTCCAAGACTTTCTTATGAAGTTTTAGAGGCTCCTCTCTTCCAAATCCAGAGTCCTAAACTGCCGTGGAACTGTGGTCAATGTTCCAGAGGTAATATAACTTTGTAAAATCTACTTTCTGCTATTTTCTATCCATTTCCAGAATGTAACTGACATTTTTGTTTTCTACAGATAGATGATGCTTGTTCATCTTTTCTGTCCATTGATTCCCAGCCTCAGGTAATTCCAATTGAATGTATTTTGTAATAATATAGGTGTTTGTGTAGCGCTTAAACTCTCCATTGCTGCCTTTGAAACCTTTATGTGCTCATGAAAACATGTCAACATGTGAGATATTATGACATTTGCTGCAGGTAATAATCAATACTGTGGGCTTGTGTTGTAACGTGCTAGGGCTTTCATCTCTAAATAAAATAGATTTGCAGATAATATACAGATATTTTGGAATGTCAAATTAAAATATTAATCTCAAAATTAAATTATGTGTTATCTGTCAGGATGCAGTGGCTCATGCCTGTAATCCTAGTGCTTTAAGAGGCCGAGGTGGGAGGATTGCTTGAGGCTAGGAGTTCGAGACTAGCCTGGGCAACATAGCAAAACCCTATCTCTACCAAATAATGATAATAAAAATTTAAGCAAACTAACACAGAAACAGAAAACCAAATACTGCATGTTCTCACTTATAAGTGGGAGCTAAATGATAAGACCACATGGACACAAAGTGGGGAACAACAGATACCAGGGCCTACTTGAGGCTGGAGGATGGGAGGAGGGAGAGGATCAGAAAAAGTAACTGTTGGGTACTAGGCTTAGTACCTAGGTGATGAAATAATCTGTACAACAGACCCCGTGACACAGTTTACCTGTATGACAATCCTGCACATGTACTCCTGAAGCTAAAATAAAAGTTTAAATAATAATAAAATTTTAAAATACTACAATATTGCTGTATTTGGGGACAAATATCCTGTCTCCCAATTGAGTTTGAAACCCATTGAGAGATGAGCTTATGAGTCAGACTTTTGGAGGTCAAAGCATCGTCATTATAATTGAAAAGTCCATTCATGACTGTGGCTTCAGATCTGATATCAAGTGTGTTTGCTATAAGTGCCTCCAGAATTAAACTTGCGTGCAAGTCTTAGACAATGACTCTGAGTTTTCCACCAGTCAGATTCTCATCCACAGGGCAGAGACCGGACAAGAACAGCTGACCTGAGCAAGAACACTGGCTCCCTGGAGGAAAGAGCTGAACTGAGCATGCCCAATTTCTTCCTCTCAGTTCACCTCCCTCCTCCTCCAATAGAAAAGAATTAAGAGAGGGTTTTGGAAAGAGGCCAGGAGTGTTAATCTAGCTCCTCTGCATGGACACATAAGGAGTGGAGAATAAGTGTGTTCTTACATTGTCCTTACTGGATGATGCTGCTTTCAGAGTCATCAGCTATGGCCTGCGGCGTACTCCCTACATAGTCTGGCCGAGGTGCCCAGGCTGTTGGTCGCACAGTCTCCAGTTATGTTTTCCTGGCAGGTGTGGAGAAGCAGCCTTGTACAGTGTTGTATTTCTCCTGCGTCAACCCATTCCCTAGGTACCTGCTGAAAATTTGAGGTATTAGGTAGTAAAGTAAGACCAGGATCACAATAGATTATATTTTTGAACAATATTTCAAATTATTCAAGGAGCATTGGCAGATATATATTAATAACATGAGATGGATATTAATCAGCACATATGTGTTTGTATGTAAAATTCAGGAGGCCGGGCACGGTGGCTCACGCCTGTAATCCCAGCACTTTGGGAGGCTGAGGCAGGCGGATCATGAGGTCAAGAGATTGAGACCATCCTGGCCAACATGGTGAAACCCCCTCTCTACTAAAAAATACAAAAATTAGCTGGGCATGGTGGCGCGCGCCTGTAGTCCCAGGTACTTGGGAGGCTGAGGCAGGAGAATTGCTTTAATCTGGGAGGCAGAGGTTGCAGTGAGCCAAGATCACGCCACTGCACTCCAGCCTGGTGCCTGGCAACAGAGTGAGACTCTGTCTCAAAAAAAAAAAAAAAAAAAAAATTCAGGAACATCCTCAAAATCACTTTTAGGTCTTCAATACTAAGAAGATACATTTTAAAGCACTCATTTAAATCTCATCAAGATAAACTAATATCTGACTGGATTTCAGTACTGTGTCTCCTTCAAGAATTGCTTAGTAAATTTACCATTTGAAAGTTTTACATTTACAATGTAAATTATAATAAATTTATTATCTTAATAAATTATTGTTTTGTTACATATGAAATTAAAGCTATCCATTAAAATCTAACTTTTGTTTCACCATAGTATATTGATGATGTTCTTATATGGGATACATTTATAGCCAGCACCTAGAATCATGCTTGAGAAGAGACTCAATAAATATTTATTTAATTACTTAGTTAACAAAACCCAGTAGGAAACATGCTATGTAGAAATTGCTCTCTTTTAACAAATATCATTATATCATCCCTTTTTTTGCCCCATTCACTAGTTTAAAAACCATATAAATATGGTTTTGCTGATTTAGCTCTCAAATAAAAAAATATAAATTCTGGAAGAATGCATAAAAAATAAATGATAATGGTTATGTGGAAGGGTAGTTCTAGGTGGACTGGGCTTTTAAACTGGATATCATCTTATAATTTTTTAATCTTTGAAACTTGCAAAATCGTGAATTATTCAAAAGTCAAGTGAAATAAATTATATAAAAGAGGTAGATTTACAAGTCCCTTTCCTAGAAATAGCTGCTAAACTAATACAGATGCATCTCTGGAATGGGGTTTATGTATAGTAACTGTATTTGGGTACCTTCACAAGATTAATATTAATAAATTAGGAATAGCTTTTTAAAATTGTATTGTTGATGTTTGGGAAATATATCATTTTATGGGCTTACTTCTGTGGCTGGGTTTCTTCATATGCTTGGTGGTCACTGGCTGGCGATCAGCAGGGGCGGTGGAGGCAACTGGGCCAAGTGTTACTTACAGTCCAATAGGCTAGTCTGAGCTTTCTCACGTGGTTGCTAGGTTCCACCAGCAGTGGGGAGAGCAAGCTCCAATACCTAAGTGCTTTACAAACCTCTGCTCATGACATGTTTACTCATGCCCATTGGCCAAAGCAAGACACAGAGTCAACGTGGGGGGCCATGCTCAGTGTCTGTGCTCGGGGACTGACTACATAAAGGCAATGGATACAGGGAGGCGTGATTCAATGGGGATATTACTATAATTTAGAAATTATAATTACTGTAATGTCTAAAAATGTTCATTGTTTTCTCAAAATATTGATAATAAACTCAATTCATGAGTGGGTAAGTCTGTACACAAATGAAAATTAGTGATAAGTATAGCTATTGTTGTACCCAAATTTAGGGTTTTAAGATCACTTAGTCATTTAAAATACTAAGACATCATATCACTGCTTCGCTCCAAATCTTCCTATAGTTTCTTATTGCACTTAAAATAATATGAAAATCCCTTGATATAGCCCATAGACCCTAAATGATTTTTTTTTAATTTTAGGTTCAGGAGTACATGTGCAGGTTTGTTATGTTAGTAAAATATGTCCTGGAGGTTTGGTGTGCAGATTATTTCATCACCCAGGTAGTAAGTGTAGTACTAGACTGGTAGTTTTTCATCCTTACCATCCTCCCACTCTCCACCCTCAGTCGGGCCCTGCTATCTATTGTTCCCTTCTTTTTGCCCATGTGCACTCAGTGTTTAGCTTCTACTTACAAGTGACGACATGTGATATTTGGTTTTCTGTTCCTGTGTTATTTTGCTTAGGATAATACCCTCCAGCTCCATCCATGTTGCTGCAAAGGACATGACCTTATTCTTTTTTATGGCTGCATAGTGTTCCATGGTGTATATATGCCACCAAATTTGATACAATTTTAAAACATTGTCAGTTTTCACATACACTATTATTATTTATGTGATTATGTGACTATTGCTTTTAAACATTTTTACCAAGTAAAAAATGTTATCTTTAAGGTCTATAAATTTAAAAATAAGATATTAAAACTTTCATATATTTAAATCCTTGAAGAATAGTTGAGAATTGGCTTCTTGTAAAAAGGAGCTGGGGGAACACATTTGCTTTGAAACCTTTTCAGTCAAAGTTCAATCTTACTAAACCTCATTCAGCTTAGAAACCATTTCCTAAGGAGAAACAACTCATGTGTGTGAATTTATTCTTCTTTGAACTGAAATGCATTTTTGACACATGACATCACTGGGTATTTTCTTCTTATTGTTTTGTATTTTCTATTTTGAAATGAGCCATAAGTATTTATTCTTCTTTGAGTCGAATACATTTTTGACACAGACAAACATTAGGTATTTTCTTCTTATTGTTTTGTATTTTCTATTTTGAAATGAGCCATAAGTGTTTATTCCTCTTTCAGTTGAAATACATTTTTGACACATGACAACAACAATTTTCTTCATTGTTTTGTGTTTTCTATTTTGAAATGAACCATAAGTGTTTATTCTTCTTTGAGTTGAAATACATTTTTGACACATGACATCACTGGGTATTTTCTTCTTATTGTTTTGTATTTTCTATTTTGAAATGATCCATAAGTGGAGCATTTTTTTTTGTTTTGTTTTTAGAGATAAGATCTCACTCTGTCACCCAGGCTACAATGCAGTGGTACAATTATAGCTTACCACAGCTACGAACTCCTGGACTCAAGCAATCCTCCCACCTCAGCCTCCTGAATAGCTGAGACTACAGGTGCATGTCACTATGCCCAGCTAATCAAAAAAAAAAATTTTGTGTGTTAAGATGGGGGTCTCACTGTCTTGCCCAGGCTGGTTAAAAAAAAGGCATAGGGATTTTACTTCAGATTTTTGTGGGGTGACCTGTGTACCCAGCCCTTAAGTATAACCAGTGAGAAAGGATGCATCAGTGTGCACACTCTACTTTTTCTCATAGCTAACTCCCAACTCCAGGCTTAGCAGGCAATACCAACGCAGCACAAGAATATCAGATCAGAAGGCCAAGGGCCCAGGCCACGCTCTACCAACTCCTAGCCATGTGTGGTATGGGGGAAGTGACAGTCTCTTAGAACCTCACTTCCTCTGAACATAAGAATAAGAATTCCTGTCCTGTGTAGGACAGAATGTAAATTACATATAGTCATGCATCACTTAACAATGGAGACATCTGAGAAATGTGTCCTTAGCTGATCTGTCATTGTGCAAACATCATAGAATATACTTACAGGAACCTAGATGTACAGCCTACTACACACCTAATCCATATGGCCACAAACCTGTATAGCACATGACTGTACTGAATACTGTGGGTAGTTGTAATACGATATGTATCTAAACATATCTAAATGTAGAAAAGGTACAGTAAATATATAATATAAAAGATAAAAAATGATACACCTGTATAGGGCACTCACCGTGAATGGAGCTTGAAAGACTGGAAGTTGCTTTGGGTGAGTCAGTGAGTCAGTAATGACTGCATGTGAAGGCCTACTGTAGATTTCATAAACACTGTAAACTTAGGTTACATTAAATTTATTTAAATTTTTTTCTCTCTTCAATAATAAATTAACCTTAGCTTACCGTAACTTTTTTACTTTTATAAACTTTTTAACTATTTTTTTCAAGACAGGGTCTCACTCTGTCATCCAGGGTGGAGTGCAGTGGCATAATCACAGCTCACTGTAGCCTCGAACTCCTGGGCTCAGATGATCCTCCCACTTCAGCCTACCGAAGAGCTGGGTCTACAGGCATGCACCACCACATGGGACTAATTTTTTGTATTTTATGTAGAGATGGGATCTTGCTATGTTGTCCAAGCTCGTCTCAAACCTCTGGGCTCAAGCAATTCTTCCACCTCTGCCTCCCAAAGTGCTGGGATTACAGGCATGAGCCACTGCTCCTGGCCAACTTTTTAATATTTTAGAGCTTTTTTTACTCTTTTGTAATAGCACTTGGCTTAAAACACAAACACATTGAACAGATCTACAGAAATATTTCATTTCTTTATATCATCATTCTGCAAGCTTTCGAAATTAATTTTTTTTTTTTTACTTTTTAAACTTTGTTGTTAAAAACGGAGACACAATCATACATACTAGCCTAGACCTACACAGGTCAGGATCATCAAGATGTGACTAGATGATAGGAGTTTTTCAGCTTCATAATTATCTTATGGAACCACCATTGTATATGCACTCTATCATTCACTGAAATGCCATTATGTGGTACATGACTGTATATGAAAATGTTTTATAATTTATTGAAGCACTATATAAATATGAGGCATTATTAATAAATATCCCAAGAATTTGCATGACAAGCAAACAGATGGAATGAAGAGAACAAAGCAGGACCTCTGATGCTGGGAAGGGTGCACAGAAAAACTGTTGACTCCACCTGCGTCTCTAACTACAACCAACCATGTCAAGCATGTGCTGTTGTTCAAAGGGAGAGACTATTGGAGGTCCTGAATGATTCTTTTCCTATGTCTTTTTTTTTTTTTTTTTTTTTTTTTTTTTTTTTTTTTTTTTTTTTTTTTTTTTTTTTTTTTTTTTTTT